GGAAACATTGTGGTGTAGCGCGTGTAATCGTCAACAAGCACTAGAAAGTAGCGCTCGCGACGCGGCCCAAGGACAGGGGTAGGGCCCCAGACGTCCATGTGCAGGGTCTGGAGTGGCGCAAAGGTAGGGGGAAGCGAGGAGGAGTAAGGAGCACGGCGAAGCCGGCCCTCAAAACAAGGCGTGCATGGCGGCGCAGGCGAGGGAGGCAGGGCAGGGAGCGATGCAGGGAGACCAAAGACAAGACCGTGATGGGACATGTGACGCAGACGCGGGAGTGCAGGGTGACCCAGGCGGTGGTGCCACAGCAGCGACTGGTGAGTGAGCAACCGACACGAGCAAGCCGCAGCGACCTGGGTCGACACAGGTACCTGGTGGGACGCCCTCACGGGGGAGGACGCAGTGTCAAGCGTAAACAGGCCAGACACAGGGTCCCGGGGGAACGAGGTCAGAGGAGCACCAATGGCGTTCTCGGTACAGACCGCATACCGCTCGTGACCAGGGAACGTAGTGGTGACGCCCAGTTCCTGAAGACACCCAACACCAACTAGGTTCCTAGAGAACGAGGGGATGTGCAGGCTTGTAAGAGAACCCGAGGGGACCGCCAGACAGGGAAGGGTGGTGGAGCTACGGGCAACTACCGGACCTGAGGAGGGGTCAGCAAGCGCGACAACGGCAGGGGCGGCAAGAGGCGTGATCGAAGTGTGGTCGCGGAAGAAGCAGGTAGACGCTCCAGAGTCAAGCGTGAAGGAGAGCAAAGCAGTACCATCCGCTGCTACAGGAGCTAGCGTGGAGCCTAGGTTAAACAAGGCAGGGGGTCCTACACCTGACGCAGCAGGGAAACCTAGACTACACACAGCGGACACACCTACTCTAGGAAACACCGGGTAATAGGATCCAGTTTCACTATAGTCATCAGTATACATGGCATACAAAACACACCTTCTGATCCATGTCCATCTCAAAGACAGGCACACGACGACGCACCAGGCTGTACTAGTTGGGGGGGTCCACCGTAGGGCCAAAGCGGAGACGGAAGAGGACGTCGAGGCGGCGGTAGCAGCGTGCGGTGGTGTGACTGGGGCGGTCACAGACGGTTCCACGGCGGGGGGCGGACTGAAGCTCGTACTGGCAGTTGACCACATTGGAGCCGTCACCCGACACCGAGCTACGCCCCCCACCACCTCCAGTTTCGCCAGGCCGCCACGGCGGCGGGGGCACCCACGTCGATTGCTGCTGCTGCTGCGACGGCTGCTGCTACTGCTGAGTCTGCTGTGGCTGCTGCTGCTGCTGAGGCTGCTGCTGATGAGGGTGCTGCTCCGGGGCACCAGCATCGGTCCCCTCGTCTGCACCACCATCCCCTCCACCACCTCCGCCACCTCCGCCACCCTCGCCACCCCCGCCACCCCCCCTTGCTGCCATGCCCCCCCCGGGCTCGGCGTCCCCTACCCTGATATGACTACGCTGAGGCCGCCATAGCGGTCTCAGCAGCAGGGGTCATCTCAGCAACAGCGGCAAAGGCATCAGAGTAAGTGCACTGGGAGGGAGCACAGCCCTGGAAGATAGGGACCGCCGCAGTACCGCTCGACTGAGCGATAGTGCGCTGGCGAGTCTCTATCGCGGTCAGGGTAGTGACAAAGTCATTAAGGGTGATGTCAGCAGGGTGGAGGGCAAGGAAGTGGTCGCGAGCAGTGGCTAGGCTGTCAGGAAGGTGCATGGCAAGGAAGTAGAGGGTAGCATTGAGGGGGGGAGGCAGTACAAGAAGCTGAGCCTCAGTGCTAGAAACGCGGTAGCTAGTCTCTAGTGCGCACAAGTGAGTGGCGAGATCAGCGACAGTGGGAAGAGACATAAGGCCAGGGAAGAGCAGGGGGAGGAGGAGATGATGGGCAGAGGTGGAGGAGGGAGTAGAATAGCGTGCATTAACAGCAACTAAGTATGCCTGCGCAGTCTCTAGGGCCTGATAGCGGGGGCGCTCAGACAGGGCGAGGGCGCGATTGATAGCAAGCTGCGCAACTGCGTCACACGACTCCCAAACGGAGCGAGCGAGTTCAGCAGCTGCAAAGGCCTCACGCTCATCGGGCGTGGGGGCGTCAGAGAGGGCAGCAGGCGGGTCGGGGCAGGGGATCTTACCGTTGACGTGAACGGCCAGAGAATGGCCATCGTGGCGATGTCCCCTCAACGAGCGGCGGAGGTCGGCGAGCCACGCTTCAAAGTCGATCGCCCGACCCTCCGCGTCCAGGCAGAGCACAGCATCCGCCATCACTACGGCTGCAGCAGCTGACCGCTGCTAGGGGAGGGGGAAGAGAGGGTGGTGGAGAGCAGCGGTGGAGACGGCCGGCTGGAGAGCCGGCACAGAAGGGGGAACCAAGGCCGGCAGGTCAGGGCGCCACAGCAGCACGGCGGCTCAGCGGCTCGGCGACTCGGCAACTCGGCGACACAGCGGCTCTGCTACTCGGCGACTCAGCGGCTCGGCGGCACGACGACGCGGCGGCGCGACTACTTGGCGGCTCGGCAAGCTGGCTACGCAGCGGCTCGGCGGCGCTGTGGTGCGGCGCGGCGCGGCTCGGCGGTGCAGCGGCTCGGCGTCACGGCGTGGTGCGGCTTGACAGGGCGGCACGGCGCGGCGGCGCGGCGCGGTGCGGCAGCTGCGCGGCGTGACGGGGCCGGCGGGGTGCGACGGGGCCGGCGCGGTCGAGCGGGGCCGGCGCAACGGGACAGGGCCAGTGGGGCCGGACGGGGCCGGGCGGGGCCGGCACGGCGTGACGGGGCCGGCGCGGAAGGACGGGGCCGGAGCGGCGTGACGGGGCCAGCGCGGCGTAGCGGGGCCGGCGCGGCGGGACGGGGCGGCACGGCGTGACGGGGCCGGCCCGGTCTAGCGGGGCCGGCGCGACGGTACGGGGCCAGCACGGGGTGACGGGGTCAGCTCGCATGACGGGGCGCGGGCTAGGGCGCGGTCTAAGGCTAGGGCTAAGGCTAGGGGCGGAAGCGTATGCAGGGAGGAGGACCTTACCTAGCATGATACCATGTTAGAATAACGCAATGATTTGAAGGAAGAGGGAACAAGGGAGATATCGGGTTTGGTTTGTACTCTCTAAGAACACACACCTATTCTAGCCTATAAATTTTACATACAAATGTATGTATAAGTTGACATTGAGTGCTTGATGGAGAATCGCAGATAGGATTTTTTGGGGTTATCGCGATGGTAGCCAGAGTGAAGTGGAGACTGAAACTTGGCGGTTGAATACGCGTGCCGTGTGGCTTACCACCAGGGTTCTTGCTAAGTTTTAAGCCCGTCTGAAAATCAGACGTGGATTCAAAATTTCGTCTGACCATCATCTGAGCACATTTCTTTGGTCTGGGGTTTCAGACGAAACGTACACCAATGTCTGAACTTTCAGGCGAAACTCACACGCACACTTAGGGTTAGCTGATTGAGGGACTGATATTTGAGCAGACAAGGTGTTTGAGCGTCATCCGTTCTTCGCTAGCCCACACTAGCCTGGACCCCTGGCCCCTGCTGGTTGGCACCCCACTGGTCATGTCATGTTCTACCTTGTGGCTTGGTGTTTTGCCACTCTTGCGCAAGTCGCGGCCAATCCCGATCTTGCCCATCGCAAAAAAAGCCCAGGAATGCGATTGGGTGAGGGAGGAACTTCAGGCTTTTTTTGGGGGGTGTTGAGGGAGTGTACCTGGCAGTGGAGGACATCGGGAATAAGGTTGGGAGCGCCGTAACGAGGAGTATATCTGGTGTAGGGGACTAAGCTGGAATATCTAGTGTGCGGGACTTAGCCGAAAACAACAAGTTGCGAGGGGCGTTGGGGGAGGATTGTATCTAGTGTGCGGGACTGAGCGGAAAACAACAAGTTGCGAGGGGCATTGGGGGAGGAATGTCTCTGGTGTGAGGAACTTGGCCGTTACCAACCTGGACCTGGGATCAATGGGTTTGGTGGGTGGAATTGTCGCTGTCAGACGAGAATATCCTCGCTATCTGAAATCTCAGATGAACCGCTAGACTGAAGTCTGTGAATTCAGACAAAATTTTATAACAAGTATGGACGTTCAGACGAAATATTAGACCCCGTCCAAAAATCAAATGAACAGCAAAAAACGGGTCTGATTCTTAGACCATCAGACGGATTGCGTCTGCTATTGGAAACCCTGCTTACCACTCCCGTATGGTAACGGATTGCGTTACGACACCAGATCGGATTCAGAATGGCACTTGGCGTGTTCCGATTTGTCATTGTGTTGTGCGAGGATCAGGTCGTGGAGTTAAATGTGGGCTTTGGTTGGCTCCCTAAACCACCTGCAACCGCTGTGGGTCGTTGACCTCTCCGCTTGGTCCCTTTTTTCAGGAATAGAAATAACAGGATGTCACGCTATAAATTTCAGCATGCATTTCGGTGCCTGATTGGCAGGTTTCATGTTTTCTTGTGTACGTGGGGTTTGCCCCTAAGGAATCATCTAGAGGTAGTAGTGGTTGCTCTAGTAGAATACGATCTGTAGTACTCAATCCGATGTTGACCATGTAGAGGAAAATTCGGGCCAGCTGAACCAGCATCCAGTGCCTCTGGAACCTCCCTCGTGCATACGCGACTCGTTCGTGTTTTCCCGGCGCAAATCTCGCGCAGATCGCGCGACGCGGTTCCGCCAAACCACCCACTTCCTTTCCGGCATCCAACGAAACACAGTGCCTGACCAAACGAGATTCAGGAGGTTCGGACTGAACCTGCTTTTGCTCTGCGCAGGTCTGTGCTGGGGCGTATCTTTTATCAAAGCGCGGTCATAAGCGGGGTTTGCACACCCAGCCTGATTAACTCATATATGCCTTTGCTTGGTGTAGGAAAATAAAAATTAGTGATCGAAGAAGTGAACGCCAGGGAAGAACTCTCAACCGAAGACTTAAAAATACGCCCTTGGGATTCGACCCTCTTGAAGAGTTCTTCCGAAGCACTCACCACCACTATCAACCTGTTCACGACCACAAAGCTGCGTTGGTAGTTCCGAATGGGCTTGCTGACTTTTCAGAAGCGCTTGTTTCGCAGGTTCTAAACTCGACTCAATAGCCATCACAGCGTCACGCTGCGTGATCAATTGTTCCGAGCCCCTGTGGTGCTCAATAGTTGCTCGCGTATCGAACGAGGCTCGCTGATTAGTTAGCCTCTTGCGGCTTCCAGCGTGGACAAAAAAGAAAGCTGCTATGACAAGAGAGCTCCTATTCAGGCGTAGAGGTATAACCTCTCAAGTAGTAGAATGTTACATCCTTCTTGTGGTAACCACCCTCGCCGTTTCCCCCTTTGTACACGTCCTCGGGCAAAATCCGCCGCCACTGGATAACAACACTGGTTACCCGAATTGCCCGAGTGGTAACCCGCCGGCGATTCCCGCGGTTGCGCCGCTGCGATGCCCCGCGTACATCGGGATCACGTGCTGCGACAACTGCGGCGACGTGAACAACGCGCTCTCATTGGCCAGCGCGAATCTGTACGACGTCGTCCAGGGGCTTGACCCGAGCGTGATGTCGCAGATCCCCGTGGCAATTCTGGGAGACATCTCGCGCGACACGATGGTGAGCGATTACCTCGATCTTGGTCACGTTGACTTGGGATGTGAAATCGCTTGACCATGCCGTGTCCCTTGGAAACTAGGAGCTTTCCTTGGAATGTCCCTTGTACCGCGCGCTCTTCAGAGCAGTAGGATCTTTCGATCCGCAGCAAGCTCTAGAAAGTACGCCCGCGGCGGGCGGGGATTGAGACTGCTCAGAAACAATTAGATTAAGAGTAGTACTCTTGCTCCTACCCCTGCTGCTCCTTCCCGCATGATGCTATACAGCGTGTGATACAATCGAGTCGCACACGTTTAGAGCAGTGCGAGCAGCTATTAGCAGATCGTACTCCTCTCCTCTTTTCCCCCCCGTCCTCCTCATTTCTATTCCCGATGCTACCTGGCGCTTCCTTATACAGGTGTGTGACACTATCGCGGTGCAGCCGCAGTGCATGCGGCTGCCAGACGTCCTCACCTTTCTCTCTACTCCTCCCGTGCTGTTCCTCCTCCCCATCATGCCATGCCGCAGGTGTGTGGCTCTATCGCGGTGCAGCCGCAGTGCATGCGGCTGCCAGACGTCCTCACCTTTCTCTCTACTCCTCCCGTGCTGTTCCTCCTCCCCATCATGCCATGCCGCAGGTGTGTGGCTCTATCGCGGCGCAGCAGCTGTGCATGCAGCTGCTCGACGACCTCACTCGCCTCCTTTCCCTTCCATAACTCCCAATTCTTCCCGTATCTTGCGTTCTTTCCTGAAGGTGTGTGACTCTATCGCGGTGCAACAGCAGTGCATGCAGCTGCTAGACGACTTGGTGTGCGCAGCCACCTGCGACCCCAACGCCGGCACCTACATTACCGTCAATGATTTCGTTGGCTCCACCGAAGTGGCCGTGTGCCTCAAAGAGGCCGACACTGTTTACGAAGCCTGCAACAGCATCCTTGGTACGTTCGATTTGAGTCGTTTTAGGGTCTGCTCGCCACCTGCGACCCCGACGCCAGCAGCTACATCACAGTCAACGACTTCGAGGGGGCGACCGAAGTGGCAGTGTGCATCAAAGAGGCGGTCACTGTTTACGAAGCATGCAAGTGCATCCTCGGTGGGTACAATTTCCTCTCTTTTAGGGTCCGTTTTCCAGCTGACTGCACCCACCTGCGGCCCCAGCGCCGGCACCTAAGTCACTGTCAATGATCCCGTAGGCACGGCCGAAGTGGCCGTATGCCTCAAGGAAATTTTACGAAGCCTGCAAAAGCATCCTCGGCCCAGGGCCGATACAGTCAGTAGGTTGCTCTAGGGTCTGTTCTCTATCTGAGTGCATCCAACCTGCAATCCCAACGCCGCCGCCCGCATTTCCGTCAATGGTTTCGTTGGTGCTACTGCTGAGGTGGCGGTGTGTCTCAAGGAGGCTGAAGCAATCTTAAAGCCTGCGAAAGCATCCCATGTAAGTGGCTTTTGTGATCGGAAGCACTCTGACTTGTTCCAGGGCCTTTTCATGACGCCGGTTGTAGGGGGCATCGTTCCCTCACGTTGTGAGTGCAAAGTTCATTTCTTTCACTCTGTCTCCTGCTCCCTTCCCCCTTGCATACTCCCCCCCTTCCTGGTCCCCAGCCGTCCCAACTCCCAAGGGCGGCACAGCAGACCTGTCTCCCTACATCACCGACGCACGCACCTTCATGACTCAGATCGTCGGGGGCATTCTGCGCCTGGTCATGGGGAACGATAAGATTCAAGTCGTGCTGGCCAGCGTGAGTGCAAGTGGTGCTGACAAGTGTTAGAGGATTCTCTCCCCAGGAACCAGACATGCCCTTTACATGTGGTTTGAGGCCTTTCAACACAAACGTCTGTCCCCACTGCACACTCCAATGCCTTCTCCTCACCCCTCCATCATATTTTTCTTCTCCCGTTCTCTCCTCTTTCCCGCCCCCCGTCTTAGACCACGTGTATCGCCGGCAACACCAACGTGTAGCCCCCTGGCACTGCACGCTGCCACACCTTCTCCTCACTCTTCTTACCTTTCTCTCACTTACCTTGCATCCCCTTCCACCCCACTCCCATCCCAAACGAAGTGTATTCTCGGCAACACCAACGTGAACCCCCCACAGCATGCTGCAACACCTGTACCTTACTCTTCTTTCCTTACCCCCTTCCCCTCCCCACTCTCCCCCCCCTCCCCGCCCACCCCTCCCCCACAATCTCAGACCAAGTGCATTGCCGGCAACACCAACGTGAACCCTCCCGCCACGGCATGCTGTGACACCTTCTCCTCAGTCCCCGACACCTGCACAGTCAGCAACGACCTCAGCAGCCTGCTAAACCGCCCCACTCCCCCCGCCTGTCTTGCTGCCACCACCACCACCCCCATCACCACCCCCATCACCACCCCCCCCACCACCACCCCTCCCACCACCACACCTCTCCCCGTCACCCCCACTCCTACCACTCCCTCAACCCCTGCTCCTACTCCTGCTGCCCCTGGAACGGCTGTTCCTCCTGCTTCTCCTGCTCCTGCTGCTGCCCCTAGCACTCCAGCTCCTGTTTCTCCCAGAATCTCACCCACTCCCTCTGCACCCCAGGTGTCGCCACTACCTGCCACTCCCTCCCCGCCTCCATCTGCTCCCAAGGCTGCTTCTCCTGCTGCTGCAGCTTATTCCACTGCTATAAGCTGCCTCGCTTCTGGTGTGATGGCACTGCTCGCGCCTGCACTCTTTCTGTGATCTAAAAACCTACGAAGCAGCTCTTAGCACCTAAAGCGCTTGAGGCTTGACCCTAGGCACTGAGTCTTGCAGTGATATACCTGCCTGCAGTGTACACTACCGTAATCTCCTGGTTAGAAGACCCCCATGTATGCAGTGAGATTGCCCCTTTCAGTCATGCTGTCAATAGTGCATGCCCTATTTCGTCTTTCACAGCCAACCAAGTTCAAAGAGTGGCTGCGATCCTAAGCAAATCCATACTCTGAACCAGGCCCCCAGAAGTCAGGAAAATTTTCCTGATTCAGGAAAAAAACAGGGAGTTTCTCGGTACCGGTACTTACCCTGATTGTGCAGGGTTTTGTAAATGACAAACCCTGTTTTTTCAGGCTTTTTCTAAGGGTAAACTCTGATCGCTCAGCAAGGTTTTTTAGCGAACCCTGAATTTCTCAGCATTGTAGCGGGTCTTAGCCCTTTCCAAAAGCGTGTCTAGGGGGGGCAGTCAAGAATTTCGAGGTTCTCCCCCCCACTTTCCCCCACCCCCCGAGGCTGTGTGAGGGCGCTCATTGGTCCTTGGTCAAAAAAATCTCCGCGGTGTATGTTGGAGGTCATGTGAGGGAGGTGTGCTGAGGACCGTGTGAGGGCAATTGCTAGCCCTTGGCCGAATTTGCTTGATGTGCGCCTGCCCTAGGGCTCTGCGAGGGAAGAGATTCCCTCCGCCCCTGCAATCTGGTCGCCTCCCCCCTGCAATCTGGTCGCCTCCCCCCCTATTCAGCCCTTCCCCCCTCTCCCCCCCACCAATTGTCGTTTCCTGCCCATCCCCCAATCTCGCCACACGCGCGAATTCGCTACGAATTCCCAGCACCCCCAAAAACCAAGACTTGAACACACAAAATTCATGAACTATAACATGTATAGAAAGATTGAAAAATCAGTTTTTTTTTTTTAAGTAATTCTGATGGCTCAGGATTTTTTTTTAGGGGACCCTGAAAATTCAGACTTTTCTGCAGGGAGAATCCTGATGGATCAGGAAGCCTCAAAACCAATCTAGGGCCCTGCTCTGAACAATAGAAACGGATGGAAAAAAAAATCAAAATGGAAAGGCCCATCCATGCCTGCCAACGTTGGGACAGGGTGGCTTTTGAGTATACTCAAAAAGCCACTTGCTTGACACCTATGAACAGTCCCAAGTGTCAAAAGAAGAGAATGACTTGGTGAGGCACATGCAGGACAGTGTTCCTACATGTGTGTTGTGCTCTTTGTAGTCTGCCCTAGTTAGCGTACAGTACATGCAAATATGTACGCTAACACACCCCCTGGGGTAGGTAGGGGCAGAGCCTGGAAGCAAAACAAACAGAACAAACCAGCAGCACTACTAGTCTGAGCTTTGGTGTATTGGGCAGCACTACTAGTTTGGCCATTGAGACAAGGGCCAGAAGGCCAGTTAGCACGTGAAACAACACAACCGGTATATAACAGCATATACAAAACCGGTCGTAGTATAGATCAGGATAGGTACAAGCAACTGTGAGGCAACTGGGACTAGACCAAGCTGTGTACAGAACCGCTGATGGTCTCACGAGGTCCAAGGGCCTTGGTGAAGATATCAGCGACGTTGGCTTATGAGGCCAATTGTACTATGCAGTGGACAGAAACCAGATGCGGGATCCGCTGTCGAAGGCGCCCAACGACTCCGTTCGTGGCTCCGACCATCACTACGGCACCGTCGGTGCTGATGCCCGACACCTTCGAGAGACGGATGCCGATGCTGTCGAGGTAAATGACAAGAGAGCCTTCCAGAGAAGCTGCATCACATTTGTCAATAGGAAGAAGTATTAGAAACTCTGTAACAACAACACGCTCGCGGAGGAAAGTAGCAAACACAATTATGTGTGTTGCCACGAACTCTGTCGGTACTCTTGTCACAGCTCAAGCCGATGAACGGGCTTAACTCCAAGTACTCCCGTTGACGAGATCGCATGTAGATGGCTGTTGAATTGATTAGTACCTACGCAAACCATGCAGGGAGTTTAGTACATGCGCGAGATCAGTACATGTTCAATAGTTAAAGCCCGAGTCTAGAATGGCCCGCTATCAAGTTCAGGATTCCTGAACTTGTTTTCGTGCAGTAGAGGTAACCTAGTTTAGGGGACCGTCAAGTTCGCAACCCTCGGGGAAATGGGGTTGTTTGCGAAAACTGCTAGAAACGACAAACCACGAACGCACTGTTCACTCATACTGAACATGAAAACGCCTGCAACCATTCTGAACGCATTTTCTTGGGAGACTAGAGACTAGAGATCATCACAACACTGTTTGTCACTGTTTGCACACTGTTTTTCGCTAGAAGTGCTTTGCCGAAAATTTATTCGCTGGAATTTTTTGGCACTGTTTTCATGGTCAGGAAAGTTGGTTTTTTACCATTCTAGACTCGGGCTTTAACGAATAAAACAACGGGGAGCTTACGTCGTAAAGTAAGACCCGTAGCCTCATTTGGGGAAACCACGAGTACGTCGCTTGGAAAGGTGCCGCATGAGTTGCACCCACATCTCGATGGGCGCTTTGGAATGGCAGATGAAAAGGAGAGTCTCCAGCAGTGCAGTAACACGCTCGCGCTGGACGTTTTGTGTTTTTGGCAAGTCCTCCATGCGCAGCTGCCCCTCAGCGATCGCAGTGGCGGTGGCTTGTCTCCGCATCGCTCTCTTGTGCTTCCACGTGCGTTGGACATCGGTCGCACCTCCGCCCTTGTCGTAGTTCGTTCCGGCCCCGCCATGTTCCATGCAAATCTTAAACTTCAAAGCCGGGAATCCTGCACGGGTCTGATTAAGCACAAGCCACGGAAAGTCAGTACTCCACCGCTTCTTAAATTGCCCAAGAGGCTCCTGGTACTTTCGTTCGGCCACATCTTCAAGTTCGGTGTCCGATAACGAAGTCGGAGCCGTGGATGGTCTTGGAACAACGGGAGGGACGACATGCAGAGTCGGAGCGGGAGCGTCTCGCGACCACCCGAAACTCAGGGTTGCCTGCCGATAGCGTGAGGGCTCAAGCTTCTTTGACGGCGGTCCAATACGGGTCGACCCTTGAGTCAGAGAAGTGCAGGGCGGTGTGCTTCGCTGAGGTGGTGTAGCTACAGCAGGGCGAGATGCCTCCGCTACTACTTCTGCGGTGTGCGTTCGAGGGGGAGGTGCCGAGGCAGGAGGATTTTATTCGCGGTAAGTCTAATCCCGTCACGGCACCCGGGCGGGACGCTGTAGAAGGCTCGTTGGGAGCCTCCTCCTCGTCGTCAGTTCCTGACGCGAGCATGGTGCCCCCTAATGAGGGGCCAGTTCACGGCAGAGAAACAAACCCACGAGCACAAGTTATGTCGTCTAGAACAGATAATGGAATGGTTGGATGATTCATGTTCTACCAAGGCATGAAAGGGAGCTGTGGGGAGGAAGGACCATTGGCGATGGCTGTTCTATCGAGACGCGGGACCTTGGTCCTCCCCACATGGAGTGATTGGCCGTCCACAAACATCCCTGCATGCAGTGCTACTTCAGCGAGTGGACAGCAGCATGCCAGTACCTTCAGAGCCCATGTTTCTCGTGGTGCGCTAGCTGCTATACTTCACCGCTATTGGCCAAATTTAGGGATTTGCAATGCACGCGGCAATCGGTCATTTCGCGACAGCAATCTACAGGCAAAATGTGCGCTGACATGAAATTTATGGAACTAGGGGCGGTAAACAGGGGGTACACCCGTAGCGCCCCCCCCCTGAAGCCAGATTCGAGGTATCAGGGGTATCTTCGAAGGCATACTGAGCTCTCAAGGCTGGTACTTGAACATTATACTGAGTTGTTAGGGTTGGCATATGATAACTATACTGAATTTACAGGGCGAGAAATTTCTTTAATCGGATTTTTCAGGTCTAGCACCTCATACTCATCATAAAAATCAGGAATTCATGATAAAAAATCCTGATATCAAACGCCCTGGCTATGACAACTGCACATAAAAACAAATTCAGGGTCTGATTTCCTGCGTGCGATGCAGTTGACAAAAACTCGGCCAATTGTGGCTAAGTCTTCAACCCAACGCAGCAAGTGAGGCACCGACACGCTATAAACTAACTTCGCAACATTTTTTGCTCTTCAGATTTTACCCAGAGGCCATAGTATAAATGTGGGAAACTACCCTAAGGAGTCAGTTTGAGCATAAACGACCAACCTTGAATGCTACACGTTTTGGGGGGCACCAGCCTTGAGTGATCAGGATGCCTAAAATCCTATCTGAGGCCCTGGTACTCTTCGTAGTCTAGTCCCTGTTGCCTCACATGTACTTGTATGCTGATCTATACTATACCGACTTTGTATATGCTGTTTCTATACTGGTTGTGTTACACTTGTTGACTGGCCTTCTGGCCCTTGTCTCGGTGGCAAGACTGGTGCGCAATGGATTGCTGTATCTTGTTTAGCTCTGCCCCTACTTAGACTAAAAGGTGTATACTATATGAACTATAGCCTAGCTAGGTGTATTTCTTATAGAGGATTGTCGAGAGCCTCGCTGGGGTTGCCCTTGAGAGCCTCAAGGAAGGGCTACAAGCCTCTCTCTCAGAGTAGAAGTGTTAAGTAGAATGAAAGATAAAAGGGAGCCAAAAGGCCAGTCAAGTTAGTATTAGAAGAAGTACGCAATCAAGGTCCTAGCAAGTGAGAAGCTACAGGAACTAGACCAAGCTGTACACAGTGCCGCTGATGATCTTTAGGCGCAAGCGCCTTCGTAAAGATATCAGCTGTGTTGGCATCGGAGGCCAAGTGCACTACGAGGGCCTAGCTGCGCTGCTGTAGCTCGTGCAGGAGGAAGTACCACAATTGGATGTGCTTCGATCTGCCCTCTAGTCAAGGCTCCTGACACAGGAGGATCATGGCCCTGTTGTCAGCGTACAGGACCGGGACAGAGCTAGGCCGCTCACCTAAGTCTGTGAGAAAGAACTTCAGCGGAGCTCCTTTGCCACCAAGGCACCGGTGTCGATCTCAGCCTCACAGCTAGACTGTGCAACAGACGACGAACGAGTGGACCTTCACGAGATGGCACCTGCACCAAGGCTAAAGCAGTAGCCCAGGGAGGTCTTGACCGTATCAGCGTCGTCTGCCCACGAAGTATCTGTGTGCTCTGTAAGGACCATTGGCCTGGGTCCTCCTAGCACTAGCCCCTTGCCTGATGTACTTGCTAGATAACACA